TATATATATATATATATATATATATATATATATATATATATATATATATATATATATATATATATATATGAATTTTTATATGTTCTATCTATATTAATTTTATAACATTTTATATTATTATATATTACTTAAATAAAAATAATATATAAAAAATAGAAAATAAATAAAATGAAGGCTCGCGGACTAGTTCGTGAGTTAACGAACAACTAAAAAAAAACTCGAGCTTGACTCGCCAAAATGCTGAAGTTCAAGTTCAAGTTTTTTTCGAATCAGCTCAACCCATTTACCACCATAATCGTGTGCTATGTGGTACGCCAACGAAATAGTCTCTAACTCAACTTCTTTTCAAATGATATCATTTTGCATTTTGCCACTAAATATAATTTATTTGATATTAGAAATATTTGTGCATAAGTAATGGAAGTAAAGTCCACTCCTAGCCGGTTGAGAATGACAGCCTATTAGGTGTGTTAGGTGTGGAAAGAGAACTCGGTACGCATTGTCCAGTGCAATTTACATCTCTCGCATGGTTATCTTAAGAGAATAGAGCCTACACAATTCATACACGTGGCTGCGTGTTTTTCTGTCGATACATATATATAATGTGCGTAAAGTAAATAATTACTAATACAATTATGCACTAAATATTTTAATCGGTAAGTTCTATTTGATAGAACAAAGCAATGATGAGTTGCTTATTAGAAATAATTATCCCCAAACCCATTTATCAATTCAAATTTAAGGACTCTCTCACCAATATTTTTAGTCAAGCAACTTTTCACTTTTTCATAATTACGTTGTTAAATTAAATCACATTAGTACAAACTTTAATGAATATTATGTTTATCTTCAAGACAATCATTATTATATCAACAAATCATTATTACATCAACGAAAATGGTTTCTCTCATTGGAACCACTAAATTTTGATGAAAGATTAGAAAATTTTACTGGTGTAGTCCATCTGTTCCATAATAATTATTTCTTTTTAAAAATATTTTATTACATATTATCTAACACTTTAGATTTCTAATATTGCATTAATTACTTAATTTTCAGTTTATACTTTATACTCTTATTAAATCTTTGTAATATTTTTTTTTAATTCATTTCTCTATGTTATTAATTATAAAATATGGTCATTTTAGTCTAAAAACATACATTTTTCATAAAATCAAGACGCATTTAATAAAATCCTTAATCCGTCTACAAAGCTAAAAACGACTATTAAAATTTCGTAAATCACACGCAATCAGAGAATTTAGGAACCTAACACGAGCTTTAAAGACGGTCTCCAAATTGGAGTGCATTATATATATATTTTCCACATAAAAATAACATTTTTTATTTAAAATAATTATTATAAAATTTACATGAACTCATTTTTGTAAGATATCTAACTGCAACAATATTGAGAAGTATAAGCTGATCCATCTATGAGTTTTGTAGATGTTATATCCGGTGATTTTTCACCATTCATCTATGCATAGTCACACACATACCATATGTATGTGTGCTTATAGGTAGCTATGTGTATAGATCTATGATGCAAATTGCAAAATCACATGGTAGCATCTCATAGATCTATGCATGCATGCTATTTCTTTAGCATGTAACTAATTTAAAATACAAAATAAGCATAAAAGTATCAAAAGAAAAAAAGAAAAAACAAAAACATATACGTTCAACAAAATATATATTTCATTAATATTTCAATTAATGTATTTATGATTCATCGGTAC